GTGTGACGCGGGAGTGGAATAAAAGATATTTAGAAAACCATGGAAGATAGAAATTTCAAGCAAAGAGAATGGAATGATGAAATAGTGATGGAGTACAAAAAGAAGAATCATGAGATGGAAGTATGAAATCTACAACAAAGTTATTATATTATATTTCAGCATCATGTTGCATTGTAGCAACATTTTTAGATCGCAATAAACACTTTTAGTGTAAGTAAAAAGTAAAGCTATCCCTGTAACAGGCAGTGAAGGCCCATAGGGTTGTGAGACGTTGTGTCCCACATTATCTAGACAATCGGCTCAAAGATGGAGGTAAGGTTGTCAGCCTTACGCGCCGGCCGCGCTTTACTCCCCTGGAAAATTTATTTAATTCCTGGTACTCATTTCTGTTAGAGGCTGAGTGAATACCAGGGCCATTGTATTAAATACATTTTTAGTACATTTTATATAAGGTTATTTTTGCATTATAGACGATATATTTACAATCTAAAAATGACTACAACAAAGCTGTTGGGCGAATTCACTGTTTGTTCAGATTTATTCTATACGTCTTGAAATTTATGTAGGCTAAAGGGGTTTATTGTATTAATGAATTCAGATCAGCGGTCGCAAATTGCCGATGTGACACAGAGTTTAGAATTATCCCACAATTTATGTCACAGCTGGCAGATGGCCCATGCAGTATCGATAGAATACTGACACACTAAAGCATGAACAAAAATCATGCGTATTATTCAACAACAGTTATTCTAAATTTTTAAGAGAAATTGTATATTTATCGAATAGGTTGAAACAAATTTTATATCGGTATATATTGTCACTTATCTTCTGTTCATTAGTCTTAGCAACAAAATTTGGGATCATATATACTGCAGTTTCTGCGCTTTTGATAATTCCAGTCTAAGCTCAGTGCATTAAAGCGAATTTCTTATAATTCTCCAATTTAAAATCGGTGTAACTCTCTCAGATAAACGTAACGCAAAGCTTGCTACGCTGGTCCAGAGTTTCACCGTGTTGGCATACAGGTCCTAGTCCCAAGGTGGCGTAAGGCAGTTGAAAGGGACGGAGATTATGTGGAGAAGTGATAATTTGTTCCTAAAGGATGCATCAATATACTGTATAAGTAGTAAAGGTCTGTAAACTGAATTTTTTAAAAAATATTGTGCATTACTTTGTGGGCTGCATTTCAGTTCTGTAAGAAAGGAATTAATTTTCTCACTGTGATTACGATTACGAAATTATAGGGGCGAATTAATTCAGTTTCCTGCCTTCTCACGCCCTCGGACCCACGAGGAAGTCTGCATGTGATCGCCCTACAGCCCATCACATGTGTGCCGTCGGCTAAGTTTCCGATCCATACGGCGGTAAACATGTGCCGTGAATGTTGGCTTTCTCTACGGGCGACAAATATCATCACTCGATACATCGAGTGCAATAGCCTAGAGCAAACTGATTCTGATTCGCATTTCGCGTAGTTAAACATGAGTAGGCCTATATATGATTTTAAACTACCGAAAGAAAATTTTAAAACAATCTATTCCACATAGGGCTATCCAAATGAAACTTATACGTATTTCACAACTGACTACTATCCTTAAATTTATCTCTGATATACATTTAGCGTTAATTTTAACTAAAGCAGAAAGAAACGCTTAAAAGAAACAGCATCATACGGGAGTCTACGACGTTCCGTCGTGAATGCCGGGGACAAATACCAAAACCAGCCGTGATAATAACAAAATGTTCATTCACATGTTCCACCTTCTAAGCTACTAGACGGATTTCGATGAAATAATGTAGTAAGAATCAACACTAGAAAAGGGCCGCGCCATAGCTCAAGCGGTTAGTCGCTAGCTTCCCACCGCGGCGGCCCGGGTTCGATCCCGGGTCGGGTCAAGTGGGATTTGTGGTGGACAAAGTGGCGCTGGGGCAGGTTTTCTCCGAGTACTTCGGTTTCCCCTGCCAATCTTCATTCCACCAATTGCTCCACAATCACCCTCACCTGAAATCTGGGGCTGGTACAGTAGGCCAGAAGTGGTCGCAGTACAAGGGACTTAGTCCCACCCCACTAGCAATAAAAAAAACACTAGAAAATGTCAATCGAATTTTAGTTCTGGTCCATGTTTGTATAGCATTGCCTCTGAGCCTAATTTGCACGAAGTTTTCACCGAATATAATCACTTTCCTGCAAAGACGTCATAACAAACATTTTTCATGAAATTATACAAATCATACTACCGCCTCTGTGACCTAGCGGTCAGAGTTCCTGGTTAAAGATCCAGAGGTCCGGGTTCGATTCCCGGCGCTCCAGGATTTTTTGAGAAGTAGTGGATCTGGAACAGGGTCCACTCAGCCTCGTGAGGATAATTGAGGAGCTATTTCAAGGAAATAGTGGCTCCGGTCTAGAAGATCTAAATTAACGGCCGTGGGGATTCCTTGCGCTGACCACGTGATACCCTCTATCGGCAAAAGTTGACACTAACTTCTTCGACAAGCGGCGGTCGCTCGGTCGGTATAGTTCGCTTGTGGACTAAAACCACGGAATTTTGTTTGTTTTTATACATCATTTAGCCAAATATTAATGTTTCCTTCTTGTTTGCATGTTATTTAACAACGCTTTTAGTATCGAGAATATGTAGCATCGGATGGCTGATGGATAACGAATTAGAAAGGATCTAGAAGAGTTTATCGTGGCCCAATCGAATTATTGTTCCAGTATTTGCCTGAATTCACTGAGAGAAACCAAGAAACCCTCAGTTTTCACAGTAGTTAGCCCCGCCGAAAGTCGAACCGAGCGCTCAACCGATATAAGTCGATAACTATTTATTTCGGAATAGTTTCAATATCACATGTATTCACCGAATTTTATACAACAAATTTTGTGTCTGCATATTTTCACATATGTTTCAGCTGCTTATTGCCTTCCTAAACTAAATTTGTAACATTATGCGCTGTGGTTTAGCAGTGTTTCCTAAATCCACCTGTAGAAATCAAGATTCTTCTCCATACATACTACTATGACATTTCTATTGAAATATCGAAAATTCTTCAATTGTTTATTTTAAGATTACTAAGTTAATCTTAGGACGATATTTCAATACAAAGGTCCAGTCCTCTTCGACTTGTGCAGACAAGCTTATTGTGAACATGTATCCGAAGTTTTAGATATATATATTATTGCAGGTGAGTAATGAAGGCAAAAATGAGAACAGAGGGCTGCATTATTCAGTTTATAAATAAATAATTAAAGGCACTGCACCGCTGAAATGGATTTATAATTCGATTGAACAGTGTAATTATGGTATGGATACAGAACAATGTTCAGAGTGATCTGAACGATTGTGAGGTGACCATACTAGTGGCAGGGCAATTTCGTTATTGCGTTCTTTGTATTCACAGAATATAAGCCCAATAATTAACTTTATGTTACAAAGCATGCACCTATTACTGCAATTAGAAACAATGTTCATAACACAGAGGCACATAGGAGGCTGGTATATCAGTGAAGCTCTACAGACTTTTATTCGACACATGCTATAACCTCCACGTCGTCCAGACTTGTTCTGGGGTCCACCCAGCCTCCTATCCAATGGGTACTGGGGACTCTTTTTCCGGGGTTAAAGCTGCCGGAGCGTGAAAGTGACCACACACCTCCAACTAGTGCCGAGGTCAAGAAAATATGGATTCTACATCCACTCCCCCATACACCTTCATGGAATAGTGCTTAATTAGTTAGGCACAGGGACAACTTTACCGTTTTTATCTTACTCTGCTATGTTCGAATCTCATCTACGGCACAGGATACCTTGATTAAGGTTTTAATGTTTTTTCAGTCCCGCCAAACATATTCTGGGATAGCACCTTGTTTAGTCAACGACCACTTGCTTCAAAAATGTTTAAATTCATATTCAGGAATAACCATTACAGACTCCGTGACCTGTAGTCCGTAAGCGAACTATACCGACCGAGCGACAGCCGCTTGTCGGCGAAGTTAGTGCCAACTTTAGCGGAGAGAGGGTGTCGTGTGGTCAGCGCAACGGATCCCCATGGACGTTAATCTCGATTTTCTAGACCGGAGCCGCTATTTCATTGAAATAGGTCCTCAATTATCCTCACGAGGCTGAGTGGACCCCGTTCCAGACCCACTACTTCTCAGAAAATCTGATAGCGCCAGGAATCGAACCCGGGACCTCTGGATCTGAGGCCAGGAACACAGAGGCGGTCATAATCATATTACTCAGTGTTTTATAGGGTAGCTAGAACAGGTGGAGTAAAATAGCCCACAAATATTCAACAACAAAATTAATAGAGAATTTTTCAGTATCTGCTGTAATCTTGGCAGTTCTCATTTGTCATTTATGAGGCTCTAGACTTGTTGATTCCACTAGCAGTTTCATTCTCCTTGGCCAGACTCGACGGCGGGAGCATCAGACTCTTCCACCCGAAAGGTTCAGCCTTTCCGGAAAGCTCTATGATGATCGCAGTGTATATGTCTTAACTGGTAACTTTGAGTATGAGAGAATACTGTTTCATTAGGCCGCGCCATAGCTCAAGCGGTAAGTCGCTGGCTTCCCCCCGCGGCTGCCCGGGTTCGATCCCGCGTCTGCCCGGGTTCGATCCCGCGTCTGGTCAAGTGGGATTTGTGGTGGACAAAGTGGTGCTGGGGCAGGTTTTCTCCAAGCACTTCGGTTTCACCTGCCAATCTTCATTCCACCAAATTCTCCATCATCATAATCACCCGGGGCAGGTACAATAGGCCAATCAGTGGCCGCTGTTCCGAGTGGACCCAGTTGGACTCCACCCCCCACTAAGCGATTTTCTTTTAATTACAAGTCATGGAAAAAGAATCAAGTTCGTTGGGGGGGGGGAAGTGGAAAATTAAAATTTCATAATATCAAAGAAAAATTTAATTTGTGAAAAATCCAAAAAAAAAATTTGTAACATTAACATGCATTCTACGTATTAACTTATAATGTGTTAATAAATATTCCTTTTTACAGAGGTGGACGCCCGAGGTTTCCATGAGTCAGTATTCGACGGTTTTAACGAATACTATCCTCAGTCAAGGCGTCTGAAGAGGGACCCACTCGGTATCAATTCTCGAGGATTTCATGATGATGTCTTCAATCGAGATTTCGGATCTTTCCATACGGTGAAAAGAGCCAAAACGTAAGTTTGAATCAAGACTAATGAATTCGGCTCTTGTGTGTGGATTCGCATATCGAATCTGGGGATAACTTATCCAGAGCTGCTTAAAACGTATTAAGGTTTACCGACGTTCAAAATTCCTATTAGCGAGAGTCAATTTCTGAACTATTTTTGCTTTTGGGATTTGTGATAGACAAAGTGACGCTGGGGCACGTTTTCTCCGAATACTTTGGATTCCCCTGCCAATCTTCATTCCACTATATTCTACGTTATAATAATCACGTGGGGCAGGTACAATAGGCCAATCAGTGGCCGACGTGCCGAGTGGACCTAGTTGGACTCCACCTCCCAATATGCGAATTAAATTTTTTAACTAGCAACTAGCAACTAGCTACGGGCTAGACGACCTAGGGGTCGGAGTTCGAGTGCCGGTAGGACCAAGAATTTTCTCTTTTCCACGTCGTCCAGACCGGCTCTGGGGCCCATCCAGTCTCCTATCCAATGTGTACTGGGGGTTCTTTCTCTGGTGGTAAAACGACAGGGCATGAAGCTGACCACTCATCTCCAACTAGTGCAGAGGTAAATAAAATGTGGATCTATACATCAATTTCCCCAAAAGCCTTCATGACGTGGTGCTTAATTAGGTAAGCACGGGGACAACTTTACTTTCTTTACAGTATTAATGTTCTTCACCAGTCGTTTTCCTGGATTTCGGATATTAAAGAATTTCTTGTGCCAAAATTCCGTACCTTACAGCAACCCCTTTTATGTAGTATGTATTAATAAATTAAGGGGTCACTGAGTGGAAGAATATACACTCAGTTTGAGAATACTTAAGTAAGAAATAAAATGGGGAATCAACAGAATAATTTATAATATTTATCTAGTATATTTCCATAATAATGAATATAATGAAAGGAAAAGAACTGTGGTACATTTGTTCGTTACACAATTCCACCATTACTAGAATATTCTGAATGTATTTCGAAACTGTGCCACCCGAAGTATTATTGCAGGCCATTGTTTTCCTGTTTTATGTATTCTGAAATCATAATCGTCAGATAATATTAAATATTATTAAGAGACACTGGAAATAATTTTTCATAAACAAAAATTATTTTCGTTATTTTAAATCAAATATTCCATTTACTTAACTGCATGTGTAAGAAAAGAGAAATGTAAGTTATGCTAAACGTAATATTGTTTAATTTCATCAAAGAAAGATGGTTAAATATCGCTAACAGAAATGAATGACACCTGCTTTCTATTATACAATTTAAAATCAATGCTCAGATCATTGTCTTATAAGTAATTAGTTTGTGTATATATTTTAGGAGACATACTGCACCTCACATGAAGGACACAGCCTTACATAGGTACATCGGGCATCATGCCCCAATAAAACGAAAGAAGAGGGAAACAGAGGAACCAAGCGAAGCAGACAAAGTGCAAGGAGTAAAACAGATAACTTCTGAGGGGCATAAGGAACGACAGGAGTCCAACTCCAACAGACATCAGAGAGACACCTCCAACGTCGATATTGGGGATGCCATAGTCAAAAGACAGCCCGATTTGGACAACGGTGGATTCAATGGTGACAAATTCCGTGAAGCATACAGCGATATCTGGACCATGGATCGTGATGCAGTTAACTCGTCAGGGCAATATGACTCAGATAATTACTGGATAACGCACAAACGGAAACTTGGAATTGGGCCATCAGGGTTTCACGGAGATACCGTCACTAACGGATTTGGAGATTTCTCAACGATGAAAAAACCTATAATTCAACGCAATTCAGAGAAAATTAACAATGAATTTTACAAATCAGGAACCGACAAACGAAAACCAGAAATGGATTCAACTGGATTTCACGGAGACACATTCAGTAATGGTTTCGGAAATTTCTGGACAATGAAAAGAAAGAGCGGAGAGATCAGGAAGGAGAACGCACTTGACCTTAAGGAACACAAGAGACGTCCAGAAATGGACTCCTCCGGTTTTCATGGGGACACATTTAAAAGTGGATTCGGTGATTTCTGGACCATGAAGAAAAGAAGACCGGAAATGGATTCTTCTGGGTTTCATGGAGATACATTTAATAGTGGATTTGGGGACTTCTGGACCATGAAGAAAAGAAGACCAGAAATGGATTCTTCTGGGTTTCATGGCGATACATTTAATAGTGGATTCGGAGACTTCTGGACAATGAAGAAAAAGAAGCCAGACATGGATCCATTGAGATTCAATAGAGATCTCTTTAATGGCGGCTTCGGAGATTTCTGGACTACGAGCAAAAGGAGACAGGAGATGGATTCTTCAGGTTTACGTGGAGACACATACAGTAGTGGGATCGGTAACATTTTGACCTTAAAGAAAAGAAGGCCTAAAATGAACTCTGCGGTTTTTCACAGCAATATATTTCCTAGTGGATTTGGAGATTTTTGGCCTATAAATAAAGGTAAAACCGAAATTGATTCATCTGGATTTCATGGAGACACATTTAATAGTGGATTTGGAGACTTCTGGTCTGTGAAAAAAAGGAGACCTGAAATGGATTCTTCAGGTTTTCATGGAGACACATTTAGTAGTGGATTTGGAGACTTCTGGCCTGTGAAAAAAAGGAGACCTGAAATGGATTCTTCGGGTTTTCATGGAGATACTTTCAATAGTGGATTTGGAGATTTCTGGACTATGAAGAAGAGGATACCAGAAATGGATTCATCTGGATTTCACGGTGATACTTTTCATGGAGATTTTGGCAACTTTTGGACAATGAAAAAGAGATCGAGTTTCCGAAATAATTATATAAACGACCATAACGTTCAACCTTACAACAATAGTAATGACGATTCAGTAAACGCCCCCAGTTCTAAGAGTCGTTAAGCCACTGCAAAACGATAATAAATGAAAAGGCAACTTAAGTTTCACTTTATCAGTACAACAGATATTAGTTATGCCTATATAAATACTCCAAATTTGTCACTGTTTATCATGTCCAGACTGAGTAATAAAACATAAATTTCACTCGCAAACACGTGAAAATCATTACTCTGAGTGCAGCAAAATACAGTATCCGCTCTTATAAATTAAAATGATTACTACACTGCTGGTCTCTCCAATTCTCAACTTTTCTCCGCGTTGCATCTTGTTTCAGGGGGGGATATAGCTCCATTTTTGTAGCTCATGAAGCAATCTATACCAATCGACGTTTCTGGGTGTTTTATATTCTATAAATCTATCTGTGACCAACACTATTTCCAGTCTTGCAACCATTTTGTGCATAACATTTTCTTTACGCAGCGGCAGGAGATAAAAAAAAGTAAAATATGACATCCTTTCTTACTTACGATACTTTTTGCCTTCTTATATGATTTAAACACTGTCTGCTTCACTTGTAGTCTATCTTCCCATTTTTCTCGGGTATTCCCACTCTCTTCGCGGCACGTATAATCACTTAGATATTCTCTTACCTGCTATTCAGTGTGCGTGAAGTGGCCACTAGTTCCTGACTATCTACTTTATCGTTCGATTCTTCCCTAAATTCCTCTTTTCTTTCTTATATCCTTTCTAAATCTAACAAATCTCATTTCATTTATAATAAATGTTCTTTTGTCTCAATTCATGTTTCACTTCCCTAGAACAAACTTCGCACCGGTATGACCTCACGGAACTGTGGCAATCACTTCTGTCTCACTTCCGCTTCATAACATGATTCATGTAGCTCAAATTTTCTATATTTTTATCTAATTTCCTCTTACCGACCGAGTGACCGCCGCTTGTCGGCGAAGTTAGTGCCAACTTCTGCGGATAGAGGGTGTCATGTGGTCAGCGCAACGGATTCCTATGGCCATTAATCTTGGTTTTCTGTAGTTCGCTTGCGGACTAAAGGCCACGGAGCATATCAGCATATCTTTCTCATATGATATGGAGAATGCTGAAATTTTAATTTATATTCTTTCTCACTAATTCAACATTCTAGAACCATATTATGCCTTACAGGCTTTCTTTCCTGAAAAATCATTATGTCGATGCTATTATTAGACATTTTGGTGTTAAATTTATGTGTTATTTTATAAAGCTTGTGTAATTATTTGTGTTGATTACGCTCACTGTTCATTTTGTTAGTTTTCTCAACACGAAGAGAAGAGGCATATCACATTCTGTGCAATTAAAATTGTACGCTTTAAGTCATTATTTGAAGTCCACTGTCTAACACTTTCTTCCAAGTATATATTAAATAGAATTGACTACAAGCTGCAGTCTCCTGATATTCCTTGATTTACCCTGCTTTCCCTTTCCCCTGCTGTGACTTCCATTCTTATGCAGGAATTTGTATACGTACCACTAACTGCTTCAATAAGACGTAGAGGGTGGCCCCTTTTGTTCATTAATTCTGAAGCAATTATATATCAGGTATATCAAAGCCTTAATATATTCAATAAACACGTGTTTCTCTCTTATACGTTATGTTCCTTATAATCTACAGAACAGCGGCTAAATCAGCTATGCATTACCTTCGAAGTCTAAATTCTCTCTGCTCCTTTAAAATAACTGTGTCCGTGTACGTTTTAATCTTCAGAAATAATTACAAATTATATTCTATACCCTAATCTTAGTTCAACAGGCTTATATCTCGATAAATTTCACGCTTACAGCGGTTTCTTTTTTATGATTTCCGGATTTAATAGGCCTATAGCAATCTCTCTTCTTTAGATACACTTCGTCTTATCCAACATTTATTCATGAACAAGGAAAACTTCAATATAAACCTTTTACTTTCATATTTAATCAGTTCACTAGCTATCTTAACACTCATATATTCAGTTGGCTGTGCATTATCTAGTTTATCTGAATCTGTTGTTTCTACTTCTTCAACAGAAGTGCCAGTCCAGAACCATGCATAATGTCATTCTTCGTTGTACACTGTGAAGATTTCTGCTACATCATTATCTACGTTATTTTAAAAATAGGTATTACTTTCGAGTAAATAGTAATCTTCGCCATGTACTCGTATAGTTAGAATTATCAAGTCAAGGAGGATGAGATGGACATGGATGAGACCAGAAATGAATACAGGATTTTTGGTGGGAAATCCAGAAGAAAAGATATCACAATGGAAACCAATACGTAATTGGGTGGATAATATTAAAATGAATCTTAGAGAAATATGATGGGATGGAAAAAGACTGGACTGACCTGGCTCAGGAGAGAGGTCAGTGGATGACTCTTGTGAACACGGTAATGAACCTTTGGATTCCATAAAATGTTGGGAAAATCTTGAGTAGCTGCACGAGTTGTGGCTTTTCAAGAAGGGCTTATCTCCATGGAGTTGTCAAATTATTACTTTCTAGTCATAATCTGTCTTCCACGTATACCATTTTGTACTGTATATACCACTGTAGCTAATATCTCGCTTATTGAATTGTTAACTTCCATCTATTTCCCCCATTTTCTTTCAAAATCATTGCTCCTCCCACTGCTGGTATTTTACTTTTAGTAATTATGACTTCTAACTATATTTTATTCTCCTAAGTCAACAGCAATATAAGTATTCATTTCCTCAATAAGTAAATAATGTCATTATTACGCAACAGTTCAAGTGATAGCCTCTGGCTACATGTAACAGAAATTTCACATGTAGGTCTAAACGCAACATTTCGGTTATAAACTCTACACAATTAAGGTGTGTCAACAAATGCAAAAATACACGAAACCATTAATCAGAAACCATTTGGAGAGTTAATTGCTCCGAAATTATTAACAACGCAATTTTACTGACTTCCGTTTCCAGGCATCATGATGGAAGAAACAGGGCTATGGGCCTAATCTTAAGAGATGCTTCATCTATATACATAAAATAACGACTTAATTATTAATTCAGCTTTCATTCAGGAACTCAATTTTCACGTGTTTTGCAGCGATCTCTTTCGTCTCTACGAATATTCCGACAAGATTATTATGTACGTTATTTTTTCCTGACAAAGTAATCCAAGTAAAATTTGAGGCTTTCACGGCGGTGACTATGAAGAAAGCAGTCTTCTGGGCTTTGGCGCCGTGTATATGTGGTGTTAACCGACGTTTCGGAGGAACGTATCGCCCCCATCTTCAGGGTTGAAGAAAAAGTATAGGTAAATCTGCAAGCGACAACACCGTGAGACACGGTAACNCTTATTGTATAATATACTCTAGGCATGTCGTATGTTAATTTGTGGCAATCAAAGCCTATTAATTATGTATTTCACAGAAAACGCCTGTAACCTTTTTCAGTAAAAGCCAAGTCCTTTTAAAGTCTATCTTCATGTTAAAAGTATTTCAAACTGAACGTCCTACTGGAAATCTGAGTTATATATTGTCTCAATAAAATTCTCTTATTTTTGTGGAATAAATCAAGAGTTGTTATTAATATATGGAATTTATTTTAAATTAATTATTTACAAATCATGACACTCAAGTTCCAGCCAATATCCCATTTACGCGCAACGAGATTTCCGTAATTCATATACGAGAAGGTAATAATAAGAGTAAGTCAATCATGTAAGATCAATATATTATGTTAATAGAACAGTTTGCTTTTGAAGATTCAGTGCTCGGTCTCCAAGCTTAATTTAAAATATAAATTATCTTATACCTGCAATAATTCCATTCATATATTGATACTGTATGGATTCAGATCATGCAATGTTTGTTATTAGTGAATTCTGCTAGAAAACACGTTCAAATTATATAGAATGATTTTAAATTATATTTCTATGTATTTTAAAAGAAATCTTGAACATGACATTTATTTGGTGTGAGAAAATTGGACTTAATGTCGCCACATTTCTGATTAAAAGAAAAAGATTGGCATTATTTATTCATCACAAGAAAAATTCATAACAACTTCGGTGATTTTTGTAAGGTGTGCGTTACATTAGAATAACATTTTCAGATTTTGTATAGTGTCCAAATTTATGGGAAAACCGGGGCTCGTTTCTACAAAGATCGTCTGGTGTTTTGTGTAGATTTCCATGAACAGGATAGCATCTGCTAATATGAGAACTAGATTGTAGTATTTTCTGTCCTACCTCAAGATTTCATTCTTCTTAACCTCAGGGATAACGAGCGACATGCCCATCCCACTTTTGCCGCCAGAAAGCAAATTTCTTCTTCATTTTTTGGTGAATTCTGTATTTAGTTTTCAGCATGTAACAGACAAACTACATGATCCAAACAAGTAGCAAATATATGAGGTTTGTTTACACTATTTTTTTTCAGCAAATAATTAATTGCATGTCTGTAATAATACAGCTTGGTATCAAAAATAGCCGCTTGAAGCTGGTTGTCAAAACTGAGTGAGATACTAAATAACTAAGAAAATTAACAAATTCTTAAAATCTGTTTGCTAGAACCCAATAAATTTTGTAGGTGGATTGTTTTATATCTTCTTCGTGTAACTGGTCTTAGAACAAAAAGATTAAACAATTAATAATATCAAATTTCAACATATATGGAAACCATACCAGAAAGACTGTCAGAGAGGAGATATTTTTGAATTTCAAATTACGTATCAAATTTCAACATATATGGCAACCATACCAGAAAGACTGTCAGAGAGGAGATATTTTTGAATTTCAAATTACGTATTAAAATTATATTTAATCTTAAAAATTATATATATATACATAAATATTTGTGCTCTTTAAAGTGTGATAATTCATATCATAGTACCAGGATTTAAAATATCCTCATAAGATATAAAACAAAACGTAAACAATTTTAATATCCTTACAGCCCCATTTCCCCCAAGATATAGATATTGCTGGCTGCACGCGGCGCCACTTGCGTGCGACTCACATTTCCGTAGAGGAGGAAATAAAAAAAATACAACTTTATGAATATGAATCTTTGAACAATGTTCTCTATATGTTGTTGCAGCAGGATTGTATATTATATTAGAACATATTTAAGCACGTCCACTTGTACCTGAGATTTTGCAAGGCACATGGAACTCGAGAGCTCAAATTTGAAACACAATTTTCTTCGTGCGCTTAGTTTTTCCTTGCATTGTTAAAAATTTATAAATAGCCTATACCAAATTTGTTTAAGAATTTATGTGATTTTATTATTGGATTATCAATTTAATGTATGAAAATGCAGAGTCATTTCTACAGATATTCCTTATACATCATCAAATTAATCACCACTATCCTTTCTCGGCGTATAGACTTTAAAATAAATGAAGAATGTAGTCTTCTGGGATGTGGCGCCGTGTAGATCTAGTGTAAATCGACGTTTCATAGGAACGTATTGCCTCCAACTACAGAGTAGAAAAATCAGCGAGCGTGGAACCAGCGTGTGCAGGAGGCTGCAGCTCCTCCGAAACGTCGGTTTACACTAGATCTACACTGCGCTACATTTCAGAAAACGGCATTGTTCATAGTCATAGCCGTGAAAACCTTAAATCTTACTTTAAAATATATATATAAATTTATCATTCCACGGATTATGTTGGAAGAGAGCTGTCAGGGCTGGAAACTGTGATGCCGGGCGAAAGGAAAATAAACAATAAAAATTATGTTAAATATAATTGCAGTGTGTTATACTTAAATTTTTCTTCTCACCCTTCCACGCGTAATGTTGTTTTTTAACATATACCACTAATAAACTCTGTATGCAGTCCTGCTTTCCCTCACTCTAACAAAATTCCCACCCAATGACGAGCTCCTAGACTTAATTATCCTAACACTAGATTGTCAGCCGGAATAGAGCATTCGGTGCAGGGGCTAGATTGCACATCGGGCCACTGAAAAATCGGGGTTTCATTGCCGGTAGTAGCAAATATTTTCCAGCTACTTTGAGCTCTCACGGAAGTAACTATAAAGATTACTGTCTTCTGGAATTTATAACCGATAATATAAATTTGATTTGTTTCATTCTGGTCCGTCACACTAACAATTACAAAGACAAAAATAACACCGTCCAGTGTGGCTATTTAAGTTTTATCACTAGAAAAACTCATCACCCTTACATGCTTCGATCCCTACGGATCATCCTCAGAGGGCATCAATACTTTTTCCGGAATATTACAATAGGTGTATGTGTATGTATATAATTTAACGCCTATTGTAATAGTAGTTTCCGGAAAAAGTATTGATGCCCTCTGAGGATGATCCGTAGGGATCGAAACATGTAAGGGTGATGAGTTTTCAAGAGATAAAACTTAAATAGTCACATTGGACGGTGTTGTTTTTGTCTTTGCGATAATATAAAGTTTAAGGACGCTCAGTAACGGAAATCGTAACTTGTGGTGCCGTCTGGTGATGACTCGGCGGAAATACTTCTGCTAGTCGGAAGAACTGAGAGATGGGTTAAGGTAAGTAGTATTAAGTGGGTTGAATACCGTAGTTAAGACTCTCTGTCCCTGGAAAAAAAAAATTACTTGGATTGTTTTACCAAAACTTTAATTCCACATTCACCCTGTTACATAAAACAATTTAATTCATGTAAGATTTGAGGCTTTCACGGCGGTGACTATGAAGAAAGCAGTCTTCTGGGATTTGGCACCGTGTATATGTGGTGTTAGCCGACGTTTCGGAGGAACGTATCGCCTCCATCTTCAGGGTAGAAGAAAAAATATAACACCGCATATACACGGTGCCAAATCCCAGAAGACTGCTTTCTTCAATTTAATTCATATATATATATATATATAGAGAGAGAGAGAGAGAGTGGGGGCCCTAAAAATGTATACACATCATTCGGCCGCCAGTTTCTTTGACTGTCCTGCCATTCGACAAGAGAACTCTGGCATTCATGTGGCTAGCACTGACTCTTGAAGAGTATCACATCACTCCCCGTGCATTAAATTCGGTACAAATTTTTGTTCTTTTTCCGTAGATAAATTCTATTAAAGCGTGTAAATTCTTTGGGGCCCGTCAGTATAGGCATTGGCCTATATTGTATAGCTTCATTTCGCAACGTCACTCTTTATTGCTACAATGAAGATGGAGGCAGTACATTCCCCTAACAGGTTGCTAAACATCTGTCAGACTACACGGCGTCATATCTCAAAAGCAGTATTCTTTAGAGATTTTCCCTTTCACCGCACCTGGGTACACCTAGAGTCATATCCCATGATTACTAGGGTTACTGCGGTCGAAACGTGAACCTAATCACTCATCTTCCTCTAACGCTGAAGTTAAGGTTGTTTACGACTAAACCGTCACTTCCCCATGTCTTCATGGGGCGGTGCTTAATCAAGCAAAGATTCATATTTGCCCTGAATTTCAATAATATTGTGTGACTAAATTCAAGAATTAATGAAACTCATTAAAAATATGCTAATTGTCCACTTAAGCACTTCATCCTTTGATACAAATACTTCCCTGAGCACTTTGCTTTCAAACACTTGTGCTTTATGACATATTTACAGACATGAGTAAAAGGTTAACTGTCTCGACAGAAAGTTAAAAGTGTTAAACAAAATAATGAAATGCAAAAATACGTTTAACATTCAAAATAAACTTGTCTCTACAATACATGAAGTCTCATCTTAATTTCTTTAAAATTCTGATCCAGTCTTCAAGAAAACACACAGTATCTGTTAATTGTGTTTATTGGTTTGAACTGAGAAACATATGCTTCCCATAAAGCCCTTCTTTGAAGTTAATGCAGGGCTATTTAACATAGATTTATGTGACATATGTAGAAACTACTGCCAATATTTCCGTTTTAAAAATAAAAACAAAAACAATATATCAATTTCGTCATGAAATTGCGTTCGTCTCTGTGTCTGGCTGAATTCAATATTGCCTAACCTACTGGGCTGAGTTTTCTGACAGACTTTTATAATAACTACACACCACACACGGTTGTAATACATTCACAGTACCATTACAATTAATATGTTGTTGGACATTACCCATCATCTTGTCCGTTCTTTAAAAAACCGTCCGGTGATAGGGGCTAGCTCTGTCTATTGGAACCAATTGAGTAGGTTTTACCTGAGGAAGGGGACAGAATCCAGTCCCTGAAAAGTTTCGTTTTTTTAAAGAAACAGGACGGTCTTTTTAAGAACAGACAAGATGATGGATAACGTCCAACAACATATTAATTGTAACAATTTACCATCATCACAAACTTTTAGATCTTATTCACAGTATCGCATTACCTAACTTTCATTCATTTCAATTTACTTTAAGGGCCTCTGTAATGGCGGCCCGGATGAAGTGGGGAAGCAAAAGCAGTGCAGTGATTGGCTACGCGCTGGGGGACCAGTTGAATTCCCTTTTAGATTGCTCTATTTCGCTATCACGTCAAAACTGTTGTGGTCCTCATGTAGCTTCTTATCTAATGGATAAAGTAGTCTTTCTCTGTAGGCAAAGCGGCCGAAGCATGAAGCTGATGACTCACCTCAATTTAGAATCGAGGCTAAAAATTCTACTTCTTTAACTCTGGACTATTTCACGGCACGAATTTTAAGCAAGGGGGCATTTAACGTGTATTCGAAATGAAATCTTGAGTAGACCTCAGTGTTTTGAGAGATTCTTTTGAAATTTATACTGCATAAGACATTTCACTCGACCCTCCTACCATGTGTAAGTTTCATTGTAAGGGCCACTTTGCTTAAAGGCCTGAGTGAAATTTTACGCGTACATTCTGAACCCTTTCAGAGATGATTATACATATTTCTTAGAACACATTTTATGAATATCGCATCTGAAGAATATTCACAGTAAAAGGAGCACCTTCGTTGTCAGCCTCAAGTAAACTAATGAGAAATAAGAGAGACAATTGAAAAGAAGGAAATGCTGTATAAAAAATGAAGATGATGACAATGCCCTATGTACTATGTCGGAACAAAATGAACGTCAATGGAAGTACAACGAATAAATTGAAAAGGTCCTAGCACAGAAGTCACTGTACTAACTTTTAAAGAGACTATAATTTCCATTATTGCTAATCTGTCAAATTTAGGCAAACACGGAAAGTGTGTTGTGACGATAAACGTAGCTCAAGGCCAAATGTTCGTACGTGTTCCTAGACCTGCGGTATCAAGAGGTGAGTACCGACGATACACATTGTGTGTGTGTGTGTGTGTATCAAGAAGTGAGTACCTCCGATACACATTGTGCTATGATTTTAGCAAATGTTCGTATGTGTTCCTCGGCCTGCGGTATCAAGAAGCGAGTACCGACGATACACATTGTGCTATGATTTTAGCAAATGTTCGTATGTGTTCCTCGGCCTGCGGTATCAAGAAGCGAGTACCGACGATACACATTGTGCTATGATTTTAGCAAATGTTCGTATGTGTTCCTCGGCCTGCGGTATCAAGAAGCGAGTACCGACGATACACATTGTGCTATGATTTTAGCAAATATTCAAAGAACAAGTAAAAAACCACATGACAAAAATGGAAATTAAAAATATACTGTTTAAAATCTTAATCTCAGGCTTACATGAGAGGATAATATTAAAACTGGTCTTAAATATATAGTCTTCGAAGATGTGGATTATATTGAATTGTCTCCTCACGGGGTTGTAGATTTTGTCCGTTAAATGTAGAATACATAATGATTGGGGGGAAGGGGGGTGAGTAATGAACCTTCGAGTGCCATAAAATTCTCAGAATACCTTCACCAGATTTCCAGAATGATTCTATCATTGGCTGGGTGAGTGAGTGAGTTAGTGAGTCAGTTAGTTAGTTGGTTGGTTAGTTAGTTTGTTAGTTTAAAATATATATATGCAGTTTCATTTTTCCGTTTTCAAAATAATACTTAATATTATTGAAAAATTACTCTGTCAACAACATTATAGTAATATGAAAGAAAACTAACTTTTTAAATTAGTTCTGATATTCTGATTCCAAATATAAATACGAATATTTGCATGATGCTACAGATTTATATGTTAAATTTTGAGCGAAAACGAAGTTTTTTAACTTCGTGTTCTTTCTTTGTGTCCTTATAATTTCTGTACTGTAATAATATGTTTCGCTAGTGAAGAGAAGATTCTTATCGTGTAAATAATGCCATTATTTCAAACTGCGTAATAAATTATATTTTCGTTCATGTGTCTTACACAAAAACGTAGGAGATAACAAAACAACTACATCGCTTACAACTCATTACCTCTCATTCTTTGTGATCATCCTGCAGTATTTCGTCAAAAATATCGAACTTCGTATATTATCTCGAAGAGATGAGAACTTTCGACGTGTCGTTTACGCCTATATTTAGTGAATAAATTCTGCATATGATACTGGTTGTGTGAAGCAGACTTGGAGGTTGAATACACACATTGTAACCAAATGTCATCTCAATGATTGACGACCTTAGTTGCTCAGAAACGTATCCAGTAGAAGCGAAAAAAATACGATGTGGCAACTGAGCAAGGCGCTCGCAGAGTACTCATTTCCTGCCACCATGCAGGTTGGTTTAACCAGGTTTTCCTGCCGGGGAACAGAGTGCTATTATCTCATTGCCGGGATCCATCCTGCCTGGCTGCTGCGAGAACTCTGCAATCACTTGCTAACTTAGAATTTCCACCCACAGCAGAGGACACTCTCCCCCTCCCCCAACTTGACTCCGAGTACTCAGACATCTGAAGTGGCGGGCAGCAGAAGCAGCTGAGGAGTGTTAGGTGGCACAGCCAGGACACTCGCGGGCTCGGGGCCCCCGCCTCCCCCCTTATTTTCATTGTGAGTATACGGGAATACTTTGCT